TATAAGGTTCAAAAATGCTTTTTATTATAAAAAAGGACTAAAAATGCAAACTTTTTAGATTTCGTGCGAAAATTGTAAAAGTTGTGAAAAATGGGTTCTTAACTGAGAACCACTATTCTAGAGGGGCTGAAGCTATCAATTAAATAAACTTTTGGGTAAAATCGTGTTTTCATCAAACAAATCATACAAAAGTGTCAAGAAAAGTGTTTGAAGGACTAAAAATGAAATTCTTTTATATAAAAGGACCAAACGTGTTATTTTTATAAACGGAAGAGTAATGAAAAGGGTCAAACTCTACTTACAAACAATCAAATTAAAATACAAGCTCCGCGAATTACCGACGAAAATGGAAAACTAATACACTCTCAATAACACATATCGTTATCAAACGAATTGATTTGGTCTCGAATCAATAACAACACAAAATCGTTAAACAAGAGTAATTCGTTAATCATGTGATAACTACGATGAGTCAACATACAAACTTTGGGCTTGAAAGTTTCAAATCTTGCTTGTTGGGCCTTGCTGGCCCATCAACATGATCTTTGGGCCCAAAGGGATTATGCTTACGTGATATTGGGCCTTCTGTGACCCAATTCCACGTAAAAGGACTTTCAATAGCTATAATGTGTTATTGGACCCTAATGGCCCATTGGTACTGCTAGTGAGGTCGACAAGTCAAATGCGAGTTGGGCCAAGTGTCTTTCGCATTGCCGATAGCCTTAAATAACTCCTGGTAATAAAGCGGGCTTCATACCCTCCTTTCTCCTCGATTGTTGGGCTATGAGAAAACAAAGTGAACAGACTTACGATGATAAACAATAGTAATTAGGGTGGGGGGGGATTAAGTGACTAGTAATGGCCGATCCCTTTAAGGATCGTTCGTAATCTGTAGTTATAAACTAGTCATTTTCCTAATTCGTGACTATAACAACTCACAAACCCTAATTAATCCAACGACACTCGGGTAATCAAAAACATTTGATGTATCGGTATAACAATAAACAAGTCAGATATTTTACATATTGGGAAAACATCGGGTTTTCCTGGGAAGTTCAACATTTTCACTTGTGTGACGTATACAAAGTTCAACAACTATACATGTTTTAAAAATCAACAAGCATATTTACAAATCTTCACACTTTTTTTTAAACAAATACTCTTTTCAAAAAATATCGGATTTTCTGGGTTTACAAACTACACCAAATCATTTTACTACAACATTACGTATGAACTCACCAACATTTCATATGTTTACATTTTTCAAAATAACTTGTATTCTCAGGTAATAGGTAAGCCGAAGAATAAGTATCAAGTTATGTCATGGTGTTTTGCTTAGATTATCTATCGAACGGTTTATGTTATGAAATTGTAATGACTAAATCAATGTAATGGATGTAAACAATATCAGTTGTATTATTTCAATGCATGGTGATGAATGATGTTATGATTCATGTATAATCATTGTGATGGTATTCAATTTAAGTAACAAGAGCCCTCGGACGTTTCCGCCGTCTGGTTCAGGGGTGTGACAGGTTGGTATCAGGGCTTTGTTTACAGTGAACTAGCATATCTAACCATACGTTGATATGCAACTATAAACCAAAAAGAGGAACTAACACAACTCTGAACAAAACAAGTAAAACATAACCATAAAAACACCCTTTCTTGTATTAGGAAAAAGAACATAGTACCGAACCAAACAAGATAATGTTGGTATCTCGGTTAAGCCAGGACTGTTCTTAGTCGTATCAAGGAGTGGATGTAGCCTGATCAACTACATTCCCTCCAAGGTACAACTATCAAATGTCCTGAGGAAATCGTGACAGCTAGGGAACCTAAGAAAAACATACCCCTTTATCCCCCAAGAAGAGAACACCAATTCAGTATATTTAACAACTAAAGCGGCATAGGTATGATATTAGCATAATTATACACTCTCGCAGGCAACATGACTGGTTTTCACCACCCCGGGGATCCTTATTTCCCAGACCATGGGAATAACGGATGGTTGGACGAAGAGCTTGAAGAAGAGGCCAAGGAAGAATCTGACGGGGAACTGGAGGCAGTAGTCGAGGGCGAATATGCCAAACCAGTAAAAGAACAGGAGGAGGAAGAAGATGAAGGAAGCCTCGAGGAGGAACCCAGCGAAAACAAAGGGAGTGACTCGGACACAGAGTCCGAAGTCATCAACCCCCCTTATCCGATTTGGGTGCCCGCTTACCAGGTGGGCCCCACTTGTCCTACACCCCCTGGGGTATTGATCTTTGGAGATGGAGCATGCAGCACGGACAGCGACCCCCATGGCGGAACGACCTCTTACACCCAAAACCTGCTCTTACACCCATGGCGGAACGACCTCTTCTGACTCCTGATCTTGAGGGTGAATCCGTAGATCAAACTCATTATCGATCAATGATCAGATCACTCATGTATCTTACTACTAGTCGCCTAGGCGTCATGTTCGTGGTCTGTCAATGTGCTCGCTACCAGGCTAATCCTAAACTCTCTCATTTAATTGCTGTTAAAAGGATTTTTCGGTATCTTAAAGGGTGCCCAAAACTGGGTCTTTGGTATCCGAAAAATCCCGAATTTGATCTTTATGCTTTTGTAGACAGAAATTATGGTGGGTGTGAGCTTGATAGAAAATCGACTTCAGGAGGATGCCAATTTCTAGGAGATAGACTGGTGTCATGGCAGAGCAAGAAGCAGCACACAGTCTCAACCTCAACAGCAGAAGCGGAATATGTTGCTGCATCTGCTTGTTGTTCTCAATTCATTTGGATCCAACATCAGTTGTTGGACTACGGTTTGAATTTTCAAGAAACCCCTATTTTTTGTGATAATGAGGCTGCGATTCAAATTGCCAAAAACCCAGTCCAGCACTCAAAAACCGAGCACATCGACACCAAGATTCATTTTTTTCGAGAATGTTATGAGCATTTGCTCATTCGGCTAGAACATGTCCGCTCTGATAATAATGTAGCAGATTTGTCCACCAAGCCTTTTAACAAAGATCGATTCGATGTGCTGGTTAATTTTCTAAAAATGATTCGTTTTGAGGATTAAATTTTTATTTTTTATTTTTATAATTTGCGCATTTTATTTCATTTTATTTTTTATGCACAAATTTAGGGGAGAAAAATAGAAAATCCAAAAACATTAAAAAATAGAAAATCCAAAAACATTAAAAAATAGAAAATCCAAAAACATTAAAAAATAGAAAATCCAAAAACATTAAAAAATAGAAATTATGTTTGAGGGAGATGTTTTGGGAAGTGATATGATCATGTGATAACAGGCAACCTAAGTCTGTGTAACGTACCCAAAGTTGAAGGGTCTATGCTCTGGTTTGATGTGTTGGTAGGCACGAAAGATTCTAAATAGACATGACTAGGCAGAATTGAACTTAGGAAATCAAATGACTTGACAAATCCTGACCTAGATAGTTCTGTTTAGCCTGAAAATGCGATACTCGGATAGGTTGAGCAGGGAGATATATATGGGAATCTACTAGTCACATTAAATGAACCCGTATCTGGAACCGTGGCTTAACTTTTCCTCCATGTACGGATTCTGTCCTTAATTCCGGTATTGATGGGGCAACTGGTAAATTCCGATAAATTAGGTCTGTAGAAAATCATTTTCTTTCTTTCTGTCTGTCAGTCACATGTTACCTCCTCTGCGTAAATGGAAGAGATCCGACCTGGACTGTAACATATGCAACTTTATTGCTCTGCATATTATACATATACATATATGAAACTCCTCTTATCTATTAGCCATTTGTTGTCTCCTTTGCGTGACTAACACTCCGACCTGGTACACAGTATATGCACTATAAGTGATAATACTCTGAATCTATCTTCTCCCCTAATGATGGTCTGCTCATCTGATGTAAGGAGTACTCTGGAAGTTCTTGATTACCTGGGCATATAGGGAAGCGGGAAACATGTTCCAATACAATTAAAATTGAACACTCAAAGATTGTCTATAGATCTCGCTGCTCAATTTAGGTGGACAACAATATCCCTGGTCGTAGTCAGCTAATGGTCCTTAAGATATAGTAAGATATAGTATCTAGAAACTTAGGATCAGATATAATATCTAGGAATTTAAGATCACATTGTCTTGTCAGCTATAGTATGTCCTAATTTTGTCACAATTTTTCGTGTTTAAGTGGACAACAATACCGACAATCGACCAGACAAAGATGTGAATATGAAAGGTACCGACAAGCGGATAATGGTCGTCTAAAAACATTGATCCCTAATCCTCAACAGGTTAAAACAATTTATATAGGTTTAAATTGATTCTTGTCATCAATAGTATTTTCAATCTCATTTTATTTTTTTATGTATTTATTTTTATTTTTTACTTTATTTTACTTTTATTTTTTATTTTATTTTAAAATTTTTTTCTTGAATCTTTGAAATTAAAATTCTATTAATCCTCAAATAATTCAATTTTGAGAAAATTGTGAAGTGAAAGGGGTTTTGGGATAAATAATTAAAGGAAAAGGGGGAGAAAGTGAAAATTTTTGCATATATATAGTGTGCGTGTGCGGTGAAAATCATACAGTCACTATTCCTGCTTCAACCGCACACACATATAAACTCTCTCAATCTCTTTAAATTACCATTAAGTTTTTTGTGAAAACAAGCTGTTTACTCGATAATTTTCATGAACACGGCTGAATTTTTAATTACTTTCACAAATTTTTTTATAGTTTGCTGTTGAATCATCATAAAAATTTTGTTTTCAAGTATAACCGCACAAGGTGTGTGGGGCCACACACGTTCGTGTGCGGCTGACCGTGTGCTGCCACACTCTTTCATGAATTAGCGTGTGCGGCTGACCGTGTGCTGCCACACACAAATGTGTACGGTTGACCTTGTACTGCTGCATATATGCGTGTGCGGCTGTGTGTAACTCCATGTGCGGCTACATTATTCTTATATGTTGCCCTAATACTTTCATGTCTTAAATTTCAGATTAAAATGGGAGACATGGAGTTCACTAAACCTCATTATTCTGCAATTTTTCTTGAAGATCCTCCTGCAGCCTACAGTGACTTGAAATTCATTGTGGATGGTTTGAATAAATCATGCCTGGTTCATTGCTTAACTACAAATCCTGCTATCTACCAAAGTTTGATTAAGGATTTCTGGAGAAATGTTGAAGTAAAGAAGAATGATCGAGGTGAAAAATTTTTGGAAACAACAATCGAAGACAAGAAAATTCTAGTTACAGAAAGCATCATTAGAGAATCTCTTCAAATTGAGGACAGACCTGAGTACCTCATGGAGATTGACGTTCATCAAATTGAGAAAATTTTAGAGCATATGGGATACGAAGGAACTTTTCCTCCTACAATCAAAAAGCCGCTTCCTCCATGCTGGAAGCTTTTGGTTCATGTGTTCGTAAGTTGCGTTTCTGGCTGCAGATCAGGAGCTCATGAGATTTCTCTAGCCAATACTGGTGCCATTGTTGCATTGGCAGCAGGTTTTGAGTTTAATTTCTCAAAATTCATAATGAATGAAATTATACTAAATATTGAAGGAAGCAAAAGAGACAAATTTTGTATGTATCCAAGATTTCTACAAATCATCCTTAACGTAACTCACCCCGAGTTGCAGAGAGGAAATGATACTCTGGATTTCAAATCCATTGGTCCAAGTTCCTTTGGATTAATAAAGCAAAAGAGAGGCGGAAAATTTGTATTTGAAGGAAAATTTCCATTAATAAAATTTGGAATTTTTAAAGAGCATGTCAGAGAAGAAGCAGAAGATCAATCCATGCCGATGGAAAATGAAGATACTCATCACTCTCCCTCCAAGCCTGTAGTGGAGGATATTCATCACTCTCCCATAGCTTGTGTAGCTGATGAGCATGATTATCAGAAAGCAAATGATTCAATATCTTCTCGAGGGGATGATGACAATGATCTTTATGAAGATGTAGAGTTTTTGAAAGAAATCGACTTTACAGGAATCAATGATGACATTCCAGCAAACATCGAGTTTGATCTTGTTGATGAAGATTTTGATCCTTTTCTTGATATTCCCAGCAACGGTGTAAATAAAGTCAATGAAGTTGCTTCTCTAGCAACCCAGACTAGAGATGAAGGAAATTCTCTCAAAATTCAGCTCTCTAGCTCAAAGCCCTTGGAAATCACAACAAGCCAAGGAGATGTGACATCATAGATTCCTCCCTCTGTGTCACCTATCTCAACATCAACTCCAGTCATTTCTATGTTATCTGAACCTCAGACTTCTCAGACCTCCATAAGAACAAGCCAATCTCTTGAAAGTCTGTAGGTACCCTCTGTGAAATGTGCTCCTCAAATTATTTCAACAATCACTGCAACCACTGCTCACTCTCCTTCAAAGCAGACTGATGAAGGTCCAAGCACCATGTTTGAGACTGGTGGATCCTCTTCTATTCCAGAATATTCTCCAACACGACCTTCTCTTGATGAAGCATCTAGCAGATTAGTAAAACATTTAGCTCAACCTAGTCCAACCTCTTCACGCGGAAAAGGAATATCATTTAACGAGGGTCGGACAGATGATGACAAATCCTCTTCATCTAATCTCCGAGAAGAAATTGGAATTCTCCGTCAACAGCTCAATTAAAAGTCAATTCAGATGGATCAGCTTTTTGCACATATTTTTGAGCTCAGGGCAAAAGATGAAGAAAAGACCAAACAAATCAAGGATCTACAAACGAGTCTTGGTTCTGTTCTAGCAAATTATTTCAATCTCAAGAACGTATTGTACGATGCTTTTGGTGAGAAAGTCAAATCCCTCTTCCAACAGCCTCATGGAGTAGTTGATCTTCCTTCTGTTCAATCACCTCCTGCAACTGATGATCTACCTGTTGATCCCCCTGTTCCAAGAACAACTACCATTGTAGACAGATTTGAAAAGGAACCTAAAGGAAGCAGAGCCAAAATCACAATCAAGCAGGGCAAAAGATCTGTAACTACAAAACAACGTGAAGGCCTTTTATTCATGAAAAAATCTAATGAAAATCGCAAAACAAAAGACCCTGTCTTAACAGTAATAGATTTGAAGAAAAGAAAGTTTGGCGATGAGTATGGTGACAGGATAGGCATCCGAATGTGGGACTTTGATCCAGCGACGAACTTGTGGGTTGTAAAGCAAAAATCAGGAGCATCTTAATGTTACAAAAGCACCCATGATTTCAACTCTTGGACCAAAACTGATCTTGCTGAATTATCCAGGGCCCCATTCCATAACCCCTCTGAAGATCCTAATGCTTCAAATTTCAAAAGATTTCTCGACAGACAGGTCAAAGAGAACTTTCCTTCAACAAAGACTGCCAAAGCCCTATACAAAAAGGACAAAGATGTTCTTGATCCAGAAACAGGCGAACCCATGAAGATTATACTCTGGCCTGCAACTAAGAAACAAAAGGAAATTCCTGTTCCTCAACATTTTCATGAGGGATATCTAGATGACATGGAATTTTGGGCATATGATGACGAAACAGCTATTGCAGCCATCAAATTCAAGAATCGAGAACATATTTTGTGATTGATTAGTGCTAAAGATCTTCTACGCTTCAGAGAAAGGGATATACGAACTTTGGTCCATCATCAAATCATTTGCAGAAAGGATGTCATGGAAGCTACTGCTAAAGAATACACTGCAATGGTAGCTACAATTATAAATGGAAGATTGCGGATGGGATCAATGGGGAGATCAGATATGAGGTTGTTTGAGAAGCCCGTTGAGGAGCCAAAGGAGTGAAGACAAGACTATACTAGTCTCAAACCAAGGGGGAGACTAAAAGAACATAATTTTGTGGTTTGAGCTAAGCATAATTTTGTATAGATGATAGTGTCTTTTTAGAAGTGATTACATGGTGTAGTGTAATGTGTGTTACCACACATGTGTGTGCGGCCGCACACCGTGTGTGCGGCAACACACATGTTTTTGGTTGCACTCTCTTATGCTGGTGTGAGGAGTAATATTTATAGTAACTGAGGTGTGTCAGATTGTACTGATTTTGTTGGTGTCAGAACTCTGATGCACTTGTACTTTTCTTAAGATGTACTTGACATTTACTGAATATAAATGTGTGCATGCTTGATTTTACTTCTTCTTCTTCTACATCTCTCCTTTATTACAATTAACTTCATTGATTACTGAATTGGATCATTAAATTTAGGACTTACATCTCTCCCCTCACTCTCTTCTTCTGCTCGGTTGAGAGCCTCCCAAACCCACACACGTCACAACAAACTCTCTTTAAATCTCTCAAGACTCATCCCTTTTCTTCATCCAAAATTATCAAGACTTTTGTTTGTGTTTCAAGAGGTTTTCACAAGATAATCATCATTCTTTGGTAAGTTTTTACATGTCTAAGTTATATAACTCTTCTCTCTTGTAAGATCACTCCATCTAAACAAGCTTTTGGTGATCATACTCCTAGAAAACTCCTTAAACTCGAGATCTCTTCAAGGAGCTTGATAGGGCCAAATTTTCTTTCATTTCTTATTCAAAACCTAGATCCAAAAGAAAATATGAGTTCACACCCCTCTATTTTCGGTTTTCACATGTTTTATGGGGGAGAGTACAAGTAGAAATGTGTAGATCTATGTGTGTTAGTGTGTTATGTGTGATTTTTGTGTTTATATGGTATTTATGTGCCAAAAATGAAAGGAATTTTGAGATCTATAGTTCAAAGGGGAAAACATGTGATCTAGGAAGTATTACACTTAACAAGTTAAGAAAATCTACCATGTAAGGGTTAAAATAAACAAGTTACAACATAAGACTCATTATTGGGCTATTTTTGTTAGATAAGCAAAAGTTTGGGGAGAAATTGTCATTCAAGGTTTTCTTAAGGACCAAAAGAGTCAAAACTATAAAAATAAATTTTTTATGAATAACATACTCTTTAAAGGGCTAGAAATGTAATTTGTAGCTTAATGGGCCAATTTTTGGGCTTTTCGGCCCATAGGCCCAAAAATTCCAAAAAGGTGGTTTTCAAAGGATTGATATGGGAAAATACCCAAAACAGGGGGAAAAATGGTAAACAAAACTAACTCAGGGGTTAAAATGATTTTTTTTCCAAACAAGGATCAAAAATGTAAAGTTTTTGGATTTTGGGCAAAAATTGTAAAAGTTGCAAAAAGTTTGAACTTTACCTAAAAAACACTTTACTGGAGGCACTGAAACTGCCAAAGACTAAATTTTGAGCTAAAAACATGACTTAAACAAGTCTATGGGTCAAAAGTGTCAAGAAAATGGTTTAAGGGCCTAAAATGTATATTTTTTTATAAAGGACAAAAATTGTCATTTTTATTAAAGAATTGCTGAAAGGGGTCAAACCAACATTTTTGAGACAATTATTTTATTTTTAAGATATTGGGTCAAAAACACCAAATTACAACTTACGAAAATAGAAAGATGAATATACATATAATTTCCAAATATCATTATAAACAACCGACCGGCCTCGTGTCATTACAAATCTAAAAATCATTAAATCAATCTTTCCGACAATTAAACTATAACATCCCATGTTCAGAACCAGAAGTGATGGGTGCTAAGTGTAATTTCGAAGAAGGGACTCGACGAGTAGGTATGCTTACTAGCCGAGTCGGAGGGGGTTTGGGTCACGAATTAGGTTACCAATTCGCCGAGTCGGAAGCTGGATTGGACGAGTTGGTGTTGGAATGAGAAAAACCCTAAACTTAGGGTTTGCACCCTATTTAAAGGACTTTATGTCCTTCTCCCAGCCTCTTATTCCCCCAAAGAGTTCCAGAAAACCCTAATTTCGTGTGAGGCTTCATTATTGAGGAGATTGGAGCTTCGAAGTGGAAATTGGTGGGAAAGAGCTTGAGGAATTAATGGCTTGCTGCAAAGGAGTGGTGTAGATACGAGATCTACTTCAGTTGAGGTAATAATCTCTTGCTTGGGTTCTTTTGCATTTAGATCTTTTATCATTTGAAATTTTGGGGCATTCTTGGTATGATTAAGAGCTACTTCGAGTTAGAGTCTTAGATCTGAGGTTGCCACTTCAGATCTTGGCTTGTGATGGTCCATAATGTCATAAAGTTTCAGTCTTTGAGTTGTTGGTGAAGCCCTTTTGTCTAAAACCCAAACGCTAGCGTGTTTTGGGCCTAAATCTCCATGGTTTCACGTAAAGTTTACAACTTTACGTGAGCTTAGAATTTAGAAGGGTGGATTTATGGATTTGAGCCTCTGCATGGCTCGAATAGCTTCTGAATGGGTTGAGAACTGGAGAGACTCAGCGAGTCACATGGGTGTACTCTACGAGTTGTATGAACATAAGAATGGACTCGGCGAGTTGGAAGAACAACTCGGTGAATCTGTTGAAGATTTCCTTTGACTCGGCGAGTCTGTTCTTGGACTCAGCGATTCTGGTCGTAGAACCCAACCTCTTTTGGATAAAGCCTTGGATTAAGTGAGTCTGTTGGCGACTCAGTGAGTCAGACAGGATGGGACTCAGAGATCGTTGGACATGGTGAGTCTTGGGGCGACTCGGCGAGCTAAGTTGTGTAATAAGAGTTTTCTAGGTATGGGAACTCGGCGAGTCGACGGGGCGACTCGGCGAGTAGAGTCAACCAGGAAGGTCGACTTTGACTGAGGACTTTGACCTTGACCAAGAGTTGACCAGTTTGACTTCCAAGGGTAATTTGGTAATTCTGGTATTTATGAAATTGGTTCTCTGGTAGTGTTTTGAGGTGAAGTTTGTGTCGGTGGTCGGAGTACCTTGGTCTTATCTCTTCAGTCCGCAATTGCAGGTGACTTATCCTCATTATATCGACAGGGTCTACGACACCAAGGCTAGCCCTTTATCGGATGGAAATCTGGGTATTGTTTGTTATGTTATTGCTTTGTTAGATCTGTATCCTGGTATTTAGGATGGTGTTATGTTAGTGACCTGGTTAAGGTCGGTACCCGGTGTATAGGGTAATGTTATGCTAGTGACCGGTTAGGTTGGAATCCTGGTTAGGATGTTGATATGCTATGAGATTTGATATACTGTTGTCTGGTTAAGGATTTGTTACGTGATTAATTCTTTTACGTGCACATGGTTTTTTGACAGGGGTTTGGGTTGAGGCGGGTTCTCCTTTGTACTATAGGCCAACATACCCAGGGTGGACATTCGATGTATTCTTTTACCCTTCTGAGAGTACTAAGAGAGGAAATAGTCTAGCCTTGAGAGATGTATTGTTTAAGAGTATTTATTTCATATGATTAGGCTGAGGCTAGATCAGATTTTTATAGAGTTCAAGATTACCGAGTCACCCAAGGTGAGTCATCTCACTATACTCTACCAAGAGTGGTAATTAGAGTTATATGACAGAGTATCTTGTATGCTATTTATGAGTATGTGATGCACTACATTATTTCTATGTGATTTATGTTGTGTATGTTCCAGAGTTTACATATCTAGAACCGGAAGGTTCACAGAGTTAGGACCAGAGGGTCTACAGAGTTATAGCGTCGAGTGGCTAATATGTGTTATATGTGGTATTTTGGGGAACTCACTAAGAATTTATGCTTACAGTGTTGTGTCATGTGTTTCAGGTACCAGTGAGGGTCGCGGGAAGGCACTGTCATGATTAGTACAC